CTTACCGAAAAATAAATGACTTTCTAAAACGACTTCATGATTCATCTCTGAGAAAATGGTCTTGAAATTCCATTTACAAAGAGACATGAAAACATATTTCCTCTGAGCCATAATGTAAGAAAAGAGCACAACAGATGAAAATCAGCTATTACATTACATCATTACTTCAGGATGGCTAGAATAACATACTAATGTCATTGTTTCTAGTATCTTGAAGTATGAATGGTTAGTTATATTTTCTAGTAATATTAATAAGTAAAGCTAACCATTACCATAGCCACTAAGAAGTTTTAGTAACCACCTTAAAGAGAACATACCATTTTAAGGTTATCTATGTACCCATAAAAAAAGTAAGAAAGTTAAATACAATACATTACACCTCCCACACAGTTTTGTCAGTTTTTTTGTGAATTTACTTTGGAAGTTTCTAAGAGAGAATGGTTTGCTTAAAATCATCTTTGCCTCAAATAATCAAGAAAAAAATTTAAATGCAACTGACATTAAGAACAAATGCTCTTCATCATCTCATTAGACCAAGAAATAAATTATGTATAAACTACACTATAAAGTAGGAGGCTTTACAGACCAAGCCTAATTTAGTTCTTGGAAATCAATGGTGTGTACATTAATATAATGGAGTCATTGTCCTGTCCCTCGACCTTAGCAGGATAATATAGTGTGGTCTTCTTTGCTTTCAAGTCACTGAGAATATGTAACAATTCCTACACGTATATTTCAGGATGTTTACAGTAATAAAAAGACAGGACAAAACAACTAGTTACAGCAAAAACTAATGATAAAAAGATATTCTGTACCCATAAATACCCATGTTCCATATTCAATATACTCAAATACAATGCCAACCAAATAACTGTTTCCTCTTTTGTAGCCAAGAATTGTTAATTACTGACCAAATCCACTCATGCAAACCATTTTTCAAACTCAAACAAAAGGCAGACCCTGTAATTTTCAACTACTACACAACAAGCCAAGTGGAAGTATTTCAAGATTCTATTTTTAATTTGTGGCAGAATGACTTTTTAAAATTCAACACTATATAGATTCCATTATAAGTAAATTTGCTCAATGGCAGTTCTTTCAAAAATATAAAGTTTAAAAAGAGTAAAACAATCACCAGCCACTAAGTCATCAGCAGCCACTGCAGGCCTCAGATGCACATGATTCCAAGTCAACCAGGGAACAGCTCCATGAGGCAGGTGAGTGGAACTATGAAGTACAGGATAAGCCTTACACAGTTTCACCCCAAAGCTCTTACTACAGTTTCTTTTGCTTGTTGTTATGTGGAATGCATACATGGAAATAAAAGTCAGAAGCCATAAATTGACTTCAAGTAAAATATCTCACCTTTTAGCACTGGAAAAACGAGTACAGGCCAAATAAACAGTGCCTGCAAACTGAATTTGCCCTTCCCATGAACAACCAGTGCTGGCTACAGGACACCACCACCCTAAAACAGGGAAAGCTGTTGAATAACCTTTTTACAGAGTCACCTAAGACCATCAGAAAACACAGATATTTGCATTACAATTCCTAACAGTAGTAAATTACACTTATGAATTAGCAATGAAAATAATTTTTGGTTGGGTTCACAACATGAGGATCTGTATTAAAGGGTCACAGCCTTAGGAAAGTTGAGAACCATTGGTGTAAACGTGGACACATTAATAAGAATCTCAAATATGTGACTCCCAAACCCTAGATATCCTTGTCCTGCCACAACTACACCTCAGACTTTACAGTGAAGAGAGACTCTCCATGTACGAGATATCACTGATAAAGACTAATTTGGAAGTTTTAAAAGTATTTCTACTTTATGAACAATTTTTAAGTACACATTTTAAGGGGAAAAAGATTAAAACAATGAGAGGGCTGAATGAAGAAACTCCTCCTAACTTCAACATAACAGACAACATATCTTTAGCACAATTCATTTTTATAATCATTTCATAAAATCATTTTCATAATTCATTTTTAAAATCCTATGTTTTATAAACGACTGCTTTAGTTGGTACATTTAAACATCTATCATGAGTCCTTAGGAAACTTGACTTCTAGGTCAAAACCTAAGACCTGGTTAGTTGTAAAGGTCAACTTCATCTTAGCACTATGAAAATAGAAAACAGGTTGGGCGGTGGTGGCACACGCCTTTAATCCCTGCACTTGGGAGGCAGAAGCAGGCGGATTTCTGAGTTCGAGGCCAGCCTGGTCTACAGAGTGAGTTCCAGGACAGCCAGGGCTACACAGAGAAACTCTGTCTCGAAAAACAAAAACAAAAAAGAAAATAGAAAACAGGAGTTTAGAAAGAGGTGAGAACAGTGCTCACCAACAAGACAACTGTCACACAATGGTTAAAGCAGCGAAGAGCCTGGAGACTTAGTATAATTTTCTTTTACTATTTTAGCTCTTACTGAGAAGATTAGATGTTCAAATGGATCAACACAATCTGGAGGATTAAAAAAGAAATGCTGAACAGAGTAACACCCAAAGGTTTAGCCTCACAAAAAACTTTACAAGATTCTCTTGAAGCTTCCAGTTTAAGTCAGGAAGTTTTATAGCTATAGTTCACTCAGAGTGCTAGGTTAATTTGGAAAGATGTCTAAACAACTTACTGTTATAAAACTTTGAAAAAAAAATCATTTAAGAATCCGAAAAAGGTGGGGATGGAACTACTGTGGTGAAGCTCAGTGTCAGACTGCTTTCCCAGCATGCTCCAGGTTCTAGCCCTAGCACCATGGTTGGTGATGTTAACAATTATCAGCATCAAAACTTTGTGTGCCAAAGAAGACAACCTCTCCCATTTCCTAGTCTGTTCTGCTTTAGAAACCATTATAATTTTTTTGTTTTGCATTACTAATAATCAAGATATAATTAAATGAAGTCATTCTAATGCACTTAAGGGACTTCATTCTAGATTTGGGGTTAAAGGTTTGGGCTGTGTAAAATGTTATTTTTAATTCTAAAAGCTAAAAAGCCTTTTTTTGATGTATTTTTCTTCATCCAATCAGAATAATTTATAATTTTTTTTTTGGCAAACAGGAAAGCAAAAATTTAAGCCAATAAGTATTTACTGGTGGATAATTCCCAGCCCAAAAATTAAAAAGTGAAATAAATTCCTTTAGTTTCAAAAAATTAAAAAGGCAGCCTCCCTTTACCCAAGCTGAGTTTCACCACTTGACTGCTTATATGACTTAAGCAGGTTATTTACCTACCATTCCTTCAACAATAAAATAGGATTAATACTAGTTACTTTCTCTTTGTGAGAATGATGATTCGTCTGAAGTGTGCTATAAAATCCACTCTCTTATCTGAATTCAGCCCCACACTATCACCAGTGTAGCACACCTCTGGAGAAGTGGCTTCGAAAACAAGACAAGCTAGCACTTCCTCAACCAGTGTTTCCACGCCCATATTTCTAGTTCTGCTTACCAACCCAAAAGCAGCTTTCTAGTAATTTCAACCTTCCATCAACTCCACCTGAGTCTAAATGTTATTAAGTAGATAATAGTCGTCACTCAACTCTGAACTTCATGAAGGTGGAGGCAGTATTTATTCCTGATCACTATAGACTCTTGAGCATTGGGAATAGTAAGGGGAATATAATAAATGTCCAAAAACCCTACATATTGAGTGATGCACTCTGCATCAGTTTCTGATTCATCAAGAGCTGTGATTATCAAAACCTGTAACAACTTTATGACTTTCTTAGCAACACACTGCTATAAGTACATCATTGCTTAAAAACTACAGCTCATACTGTAGTCATGTAAAAGTAGGCTTCATCAACTGCATCTACTTTACAGAACTAGAAATCCTGCATAGTAAACGACCAGTTCACCATCCCCTACAAATCCACGGAAACACGTGCTCCACACAGTAGTTCTCTTGTCACCCAAAAGTTTAGACTGTTTATTCTATTAGCCTAACAAACCATAACTAGTAAAGTCAAAGCTCCACAAATCAAAAATCCATCCCAAATCTGCACTACTTCTGCATTATGTGCCTTAGACTGGGGGAGAAAACAATATCCAGGAATATTCAATCTCCACTAAAGAGCAGCAGTAATATAAGGCAATACTAGACTGATAATTTCACATTAAACAACAAAATCCAAGATGTTCGATTTAGTGAACACAAACTTAAAGGATAGAAAGAGAAGTTAAAGATTTGGTCGTTTTAAAAGAAACAGGAGCCTTTCTACTCCAACAAGCCTTCCAAGTCCCACATATGAAACCTCTAATCCTCCAAATACTCATTTCCCCTTCTACTTCCATGTCAGGAAAAAAAAAAACTCATGCATTAATTAATCAAAAGTATATCACACAAAACTAGGCCACCATATACAGAGGAACTTTAAAAACTCCAAATCACTGTCTTTAAAATATTACCCCCAAGGTGACTTGGAGTATTGGATTAAGGAACAGTCACAGGCAGTAGACACCTGAGAAGTAGAGTCTCTGGGTCTGTCTGTGGGGCGGAACCGACATCCCAAGGGCAGATGACAGTTAACGCAAATTCACAGAGAAGACCACCAGGCACTCAAATCCTCCAAGTCACATCCCTCTACAACAACCCCTGCCTCTGCCCGGAGAGCTGCCGAGGCCCGTGCCACACAGGACACACCCGGGCTGTGAGCACGCCCTTCAGGTCTGCAGTGTGTCCAGGAACAACTTTCTCCACCTGGTTGGTGCAGGAGAGGCTGCAAAGACAGAGACACAGCTGCTGTCCCCAGGTTGCAGCAACCACACACAAGTGTGTCTCAACAGGACCAGGAGAGACACTGACTGACTGGCCAGGGACAGGGAGGGGGTCAGGCCTCCAGCTCCCAGTACTGTCTTGGCAGCACGGGAAGTGCCCACTACCCGCTTTTCTTTACCTAGGGGCCTCCAGTCCAGGTGGAAGCAAAAATGCATGCCAGGGTCTTGCTGGGACCCTGGCTACCACCCCCGGGCAGCCTCGGCTCCCCTAACCTCCCCTCTCACCTGATCTTGTAACTCGGCAGGGTGTGCTTGCGCTTGATGATCTTCTTGAGCTGGTTGACAATGATGGAGGTGAGCTGGGGCATGGGCCGGCCCTCGAACTGGGAGCGCACCTCGAAGTCAATCAGCGGGTCCTCCACGAAAGAGAAGAACCAGTGGGTGAAGGGCACCCGGGTGAGGACGAAGCGCAGCCTCCCCACTACGCGCGACAGCTTCACGAACAGGTAGGCGGACTTGCCGAACACCAGGTCCACGTCGATGGCCAGGTGGAAGCCGCCGTTGTACTCCACCTCCGCCTCGAAGGCCAGCTCCTCCGGGCAGGTGGCGGGCAGCGCGTCCCCGTCGGGGTCGTCGGGCTCACCGGTGCCGGAGGCCACCACGGGCCGCACCAGCCGGATGGTCTTGATGAAGGGCACCGTGTCGCCCAGGAACACGTCGCGCAGACTCAGCCCCTCCAGCAGGCGGCCGGCCGTCTTGGTCTGCAGCAGCTCCTCGAACTCCACCTTGATCTTCTTGGTGACCCAGCGGCGGGCGAGCGCGGTGTCCCGCAGCTCCCGGAACAGGAACAGGATGGTGGCGTTGAGGAAGTAGCATGTCTCCAGCGTCGGCGGGGCCGGGCTGTCGGGGGTCGGGGTCGGGCTGGCGCCGGCCTCGGAGGACCCAGCAGCGGGCTCCTCGGCGCCGCCGCCATAAAGGTACTCCCTGAGGGGCAGGCCCGGCACCGGCTTAAGGTAGCGAAAGCCGTCGCCCGCGCGGGCCGCCTCATCCGCCCGCGGCTCGGGCTGTCTGCGGTAGAGCAGCAGGAACTGTGCGAGCAGCGTGAGGAACGAGCCCAGCACGACCGACGCCAGGATCATGAGCAGCAGCCCCATCCCGCCGCCCCCGCCGCCCCTCGGCCTTCTCCCGCGCTCTCCGCGCCGCCCTCCTCCCTACGCCGTCGCCCCCGCCGCCTCCATCTTGAGGACATCGGTGGCGGATGAGCGGCTCCCTGGGCCCGAACCGAGCGTCCGCAGTCCGACGCTGCCTTGCGGCGCCTTAGCCCGCCGCGGCCCCGCGCCTCCTCAGACGCTCCCCCGGGGGCGGCCCGAGCGCCCGACCAGCGGCGGGCGAGGGCGGGAACGGCGCCTCCCCGCAGAGCCTGCGCTCATTGGGCGAGCGGCGCGTGACGTCAGAGCGTGCGCGCCCCCGGCGGCGGGCGCCTGAGCGCGCTTGGACGCGGGTCCTTCCCCGCCTCTCGGCGCTCTTCCAGCGCCGCTCTCCCCCCACGGCTGCATTCCGCCGGCGGCGGCACGGCGATCCGTGCATCCGTCTTCTCGGGAGCGCGGGAAGTAACGGAAGGAGACCTGGAGAAGTCGGGCTGACAGGGCGCGGCGCGGCGCGGCTGTCCGTTATTCCGCGCCCATCCCCCGCGTCGGCCGTGGGTCCTGCCCGTTACTTCTGCGGCGACTGCTCTGCATCCCGCAGTGTGTTGCTGCCTCTCCTGCAGGGCAGAGCCGCAGAGAGCTCGAGCGCAGGAGGTTGGGACACTGCCCAAGCTGGCCAGAGGACGGACTGCATCAGGGACAGCCATGGCTAGCCCGCACCGACCGGCAGACCTGCGTCCGCAGAGAATGGGGCCCGGAGAAAGGACCAAACGGAACCGCGAGAAGGGGACTAACTTTCCCACCTTGGGGGATTTCAATTTAAATGACAAAGAAGTTTATCTGAGGTCTGGGAGGAGTGGGTGGGCTGAAGTGAATTTGCCAGCGCATTGGAAGGGGCCTTAGCCACTCCAAGTTGTCTGTTCACGCCCCCCTCCTCCCTTCTTTTCTCTCTGAGGGCTTTATCGTCCATCCCTCAGGCCTTTTAGTGCCCACCCATTTCACAGAATACTAGTGACATAGTAAATTGCTTAGGGTCACATCGTGGGACCCTGAGTTCTTGGTTTCTACTTGTCATAATAACATGGAGAACGCTGGAGTTGTTTTGTTTTGTTTTAAAAAAAAAATGTTCAGGGATCAGACCCCCAGGTGCCCCATAAAGGGGAGCTGAAGAGACGGAGAAAAGCAGAAGATTTTGCACAGGGTACAGAGAGAGCCAGAATCCTTTGTGTTCCCTGGCAACAGTGTTTCCTCTGGTGCTTTCTGACTACTCTGTTGTTACGTCATAGCTTATATCCCACCTCGCGGACACAACTTTTCTAGTCCTAGGGAGGTCAGATATTCCACTACTAAAACTCACCGTTTCAGGCTAGCTCTTAAGACATCAGTGCAGGGATCCTTTCTAGTCTTGACTGGGTGATTGGAACCTTAAACCAGAGTTCTGACACCAACTGAGCCAGGCATAGAACTTTAGAATCAAATTGATCTTATCTTTCTTAGTCATGGCCAGGTCTGAGACCAGCATGGCTTTTGAAACAGGAAGACATCTGTCAGAACAGATGTTTGCTGAGCAACCTCTCTGACACTTCTAGACGTTTCAGATAACGTCTGTGTTCATGGTCACCCTCAGCTTCTGCTTCTGGGTTGCTTTCATTCATATATATATACATATATATGTATACACATATATATGTATATATATATTAAACCTAAGTGAGAGCTGTAAGCTCTTTCTCAATTTTCACCAGAGTGTTGCACCACTATACCACTGTTCCAAACATTGCACAAGGAGCTGGGGTGGGGGGGTTCTTCACATCACTAAAATATTAAATCTTACAACAGGGAGGCTAGATAAATGGCTCTATAGTGTGGTTGCCATTCAAATGTGGAGCTGAAGCTGGGTATAGCAGCACAATCCTGTAATCCCAGCACTTGGGAAGCAGACACAGGCGGTTCCCAGGACTTCCTGAGCTCCAGGTTCAGCAAGAGACATTGACTGAAGAACTGAAATGTGTGATTGAGGAAGACACCTGATGTCAACATCAGGCCCCTACAGACAGGCACACATGCACAGAATTAAAGCCAAAAAACCTCTGTGTTGATCTATCATGACTCTTAAATCATCCCACACCTAGTACCCTCTTACTAGCAAGGTTGGTGAGCCCCATGGGATGAACCTTCAACCCCACTCCATCTCCACATCTTGCTTCCTAGGACCTCTTGGAACACCATAGCTTCTCAGACTATTATTCACTTAATTCTCCAGGAGCTGGTGTCCTCAAAGGGCACATAAAAGCCAATTCGATGAAAACTGTGTAAAAAAAAAATGCAATCTTGTCAACTAGATTGACAGAGAAACACCTAGGGAGGCCTGTGTCTGGGAGTGTCTTTGAAGGCATTTGCAGAAATGATTTAGGTCCTGAGGACTCTGGCCAAAGAAGTGGAGGTTTTATGGGTTCATAATATGATGGCATTATTGGAAGGTAGTAAAACGCAGGGAGGGAGGACCTGGCTGGAAGAAGCAGGTCAGTAGAGGAGGGTCCTCCGGGATAGCTGCTAGCCTCTTCCTACATTCTTCTTTCTGACTTCTGTTGCTTAGGAGGGATATGAGCTTACTTTTACTGTGCCACACAATCCCTGACGTGATGGATTGACATCTCTGAAACCATAAGCTAAAATTAATCCTTTTAAGTTGCTTTTATCTGGTCTTTGGTCACAAACATAGAAAAATAATACAGTAGCAAAATTGAGGGCAAAGCAGAAAGAAGTTTAGAATGTTTGCTAAGAAATGGTACATTGAATCATTTTGTGAACTGCGAAGATAAAAATCCAGCATACACCTGTCACAAATGAGCAGAACAGAGTCCCTGCCCTCGGGAATGCCAGGCCCAGGCAGCCACTGTTCTAACAGAGGCACACTGGAGATGCTGCAGCAGCAGAGTCTTCTGGTTCAGGGGCAGAGAGCAGAAACTGCCTGTAGCTAACATCACTGCAATGTGGTTCCTGATAATGGCAATGGAAATCTCCCTGATCTCAGCTGCAAGATGTTCCTTTCAGCCTTGCACAGAACCCTAGGTTGAGAGGATTGTTTCTGCCTCATTTCTTTACCCTTGTCCTTACCTTGTTATCTTGTCAACTGTGTCCATCTGTTTTTAGTTTCTATGTCCCCATGGACTCAAGCAAAGAGCTTAGAAAACATCAGCTCTGAACCCAAATCTATAGAGTCCTTCATCTGTGGTCCTCTAGCTCAGTCTGAAATGTTAGGAGGGAATTATTGATTAGCCACACTAAATCATTTGTGCCCGTGGGCAACCTTTCTCATGAGGGATTAGGAAAATGATAGATTGCAGGGTGTGATGTCTCAACCTTTAATCCCAACTCTCAGGAAGCAAAGCCAGGAAGAGCTCTGTGAGTTCAAGGCTATCCTGTTCTACAAATCGAATTCCAGAACTTCCAGGCTCTGTTACATAAAGAAACCCACCCACCCTCCAAAAGAAAAAGAAAATGATGAGCCATTGTAGTTTGATAGGAAATGAGAAACGGATCCTCTCCAGGGAATATGGGGGCTTTGGGGCAATTAGAATTTCTTTTGGTACTTGGAGGAGCTTCCTTATCAGAAAGAAGCAAAAACTCACACATTGAAATGCAGTGTAAAAAAGAAAGAAGAAAAAGAAATACAGTGTAATTTAGGGAAATTGGAATGAGTAAGAGCTGAGGCTGGCCAAGTTGTAAGAAGACAAAGGCCAGGTGGGAAAGTGATGTGAACTGAGTTAGGGAGAGGGCCAGTTTTATTTTGCTGACTTGTGGTGTTGAAAGGAGTTTAAGCAAGAGCATAACAACACATTTCCTTCCATTAATCACCAGCAAAGTGTCCATACCGGAGCAGTCCCACCAGCCATCATCCCAAGCTCCGTCCCATTTCTGTACACTAATGGTCCTTACACACATGACAGCCCTCATCACATCTCCTCCCACACTTTTCTCCGCTATCCTAGTCAGCGTCTCTCCTCATTTCTCACAGAGTGCCCTCAAATCTCGACCAGGCTCTCATTCACCTCTCATTCTTTTTTCCCAACCATGTTCAAGGGTGGATATAGCCTTTCATTTCAGGGAAGAAAAGAGGCCCGTTGGCTAACCCAACCCATGTTTCTTTCTTCTGTAGGAAGGAACCTAACTGAAGCCACTGTGAATAGAACTTCCATTTTGAATAGGGGTCAAATAAAGTTTAACTTCCCAAGACTTCCTTGGGTAACTGACATCCTAGTTGGCAAGTTGAGACATGAATGCCAGTGAAGTCGCCCTGACATACTTGAATAACCTAACCAAAGGGTACAGGATCAATGTACCACAAAGACATGTTCCGAAGGAAGTCCCGCCACCCCTAGATCCTGATTGATGGGATATCTTGGTTTGGAAGCTTAAAAGCTCTAACATTTGGGCTTGAGGTCACAGTTCTGCTCTCAAGTCTGTTCTGTGGCCTCGATGGATCTTTTTGTTATCTGCTTAAATATTAAGATGAACGTTCAAAGATGTCATCAGCTCCTCAGTTGCTGCTGCTGGCCCTGACTGGTCAGTTTTTGCTGCCTAATTCAAATAAAGATCTTGCTTTGTTGGACTCTTGTGGCTGCTTGGGTGGTTTGGATTTTCAGACCCTAACACTTCCCTGGCAACAACACACTGATAGAATCCTCTCTTCTGTGGCAACAACAGTCATGCTAAAAATATAGATGCAGGACAGACAGATGCTCAGTTGGTAATGTCCTGCCTTGCAAGCATGAGGACGTAAGTTCAACCCCCAGAACACAGGTTAAAAAAAAAAGCTGGTCGTGGTGGGTACATGCTTGTGATCCCAGCCCTCAGGAGATAGACACCAGATCCCTGGGACTCACTTACTTGGCCAACTTCAGGCCAGTAAAAGATCTTGTCTCGCCGGGCGGTGGTGGCGCACGCCTTTAATCCCAGCACTCGGGAGGCAGAGGCAGGCGGATTTCTGAGTTCGAGGCCAGCCTGGTCTACAGAGTGAGTTCCAGGACAGCCAGGGCTATACAGAGAAACCCTGTCTCGAAAAACCAAAAAAAAAAAAAAAAAAAAAAAAGATCTTGTCTCAAGAAATGCAAGGAATAGGTAAATAGAGCCAGTGAGAAGGCTCATATGTGGAAGGAGAGAACCAACTTGGTTTTTTGTTTTGTTGGGTTTTTTTGTTTGTTTTTCATTTTTAATTTTTCAAGAACGGCTTCTCTATGAC